CATACTCAACTTTACCTTCTTCCTTGTTTGAGTCTAATCTATTCATGTACATACATACATACATTTTATTCCTGAACTGCTGCTTAGCACGTTTCTTTAATTCGCTATCAATATTAAAGCATACATTTAGGGGGCATTTCCGCCCCAACCATGTACATGTGTGCATTGGTATTGGTGTGACTTTTGAATTGATTTTTTCGCTCTATTTTAAACTGATTTGAAATTTTAAAAATTGCCTGCACATCAGCATCAAAATACCTTTCTAATGATATATAACTGTTTATACCTTAGAAGTATAGTTTAACCGTAAAAGGGGTGTAAAGGAAACATGATTGCCTATTTATATAATGATATATATATATGATGATTAAATAAAACACTTTTTTATATGGTGCTAAGCAAGAAATATTTAGGAGCATAAAATTTTATTTCGTTTTGTATTAAAATACACTCTTTTGCACTCAATGCATAAGAACTTATATGCTAGGTATGTATGTATGTTCATTAGACTGAATCACTCCCCATGCAAAAAAAATCGGTACTGTTTTTCCATTGGAATTATAAAATCTATTATATTTTAAGACGTCCACCAAAATATTTCGAACAATATTAAGATTTAAGCGAGCTGGACCGATTTGAAAATACCTCCAAAAATGGAGTTTTTATACATACATACATATAGTGGTCCTTAAAATAAAAGAACTGCGATATTTTGACCGGTTTTGGAATTTGGTATTTGTATTTTTAAACGACTTCAAAAAAAGGAGGAGGTTATCAGTTCGTCGGAATATTTTTTTTTTTTCTGTATGTTACCGCATAACTTTGGACCACGTTAAATGATTTCGATAATTCTTTTTTCATCGGAGAGGTGGTACCTAAAGGTTGGTCCCATACTAATTTTGTTTAGATCCGATAATTGGGTCGTGAAGAAATTAACGATAATCTTACATTTTTATATGAGAATTGAAGTCGGTATTGTTTTTTGCTTAAAAATTACTTGTGTTTATTTAATGTGTATTATTTTTTTTTCAAAAGTCTAGCTGGTATACAACAGATACCATATACATAAATTCAGATTTCAAACTTTGTACAAAAATTAGAAAAATTCCTCTTATTTTCACCAAAATTTCAAACTCAATCAGAATTTTGGTATGCAGTTTTGTAATTCTAGTATAATGAAGTGCAAGTTTCAAGCTGCTATAAAATCCCATTAATTTTTGGCATTTTTTTGCCAGCAGTGGCCTCCGTATAAAAGAAAATTGTGAACATACTTTTGTATGGAAAAAACGTGAAACACCTTCAACAAAAAAAAATTAATTTTTTTGATCTGTCTGCAAATTTCAAATAATCGGCAAAGAATCGGCGAAAATATGCCGAGGCCGATGCTCAATTTTGTGCCGATACTAGCCGATGCCGATTAATCGGTCGGACTCTAGTTACTAATCATAATCTCTCTGGTTTTAACTTGCGTATCAAATAGATTGTATAAGAAATATTTTTTTGATGTACCTCCATATAATAGCGTATGTTAAAGTGCAAATCTCAGCGTTTGGTAATTTTAAAAGTTTGAAATTGAAAATTGAAGTTGATATCACTATTTACAATATGTTTACTTATTATTATTATACATACGGTTGTCCACAAAATATTAAGAGTACGATATTTTGACCTGATTTGGCTATTTGTCTTTTGCTTATTTAACGTTTTTTTATATTTTTTATAAAAGTCTAACTGGTTATCCAACAAACATCATATAAATTAGCCAGAGACCCAAAATAATTATTATCATAATATTTGAGATCAAAAACGTCGCCTTGTTTTAAGAGAAATATTTTTCGTCTGTATAATAATTATTTAAGAGAAATATCTTTTTTCGTCCCGTGGGGTGCTTTTTCAGATGGAAATTATTAACGTCTTTTCACAATAATTATGTGGGATTTTTATTTTTCTCGTCTCTCGGGACGTTTATTTCAAGACAAATATTATTTACGTCTTCTCATAATAATTATGTGGGACTTTTATTTCTTTTCGTCTCGTGGGACGTTTATTTTAAGACGGAAATGATTTAATAATGATTTGGTAATAATTATATGCGACTTTTATTTTCTCGTCCCCACGTTTTCTCTTAATAGAATCGGTACATGTACTGCCGATTTCACGAAATTAAGCGAAAATATCTCCGAGTTCGATTATTGGAATTTGATTTGCTAACATTTGGCAACCCTTTTCAATAAACTAAATTCACGTAAAAGCAAAGCCCTTTCATTTGAAAACACATTTTTGAAAATCGAACAATTGATACAGATTTGATGACATGAACAATCGTGGCGTTAAATATTTAACGCGTCAAATCTCCGAACTCAATTAAGAAGTTACATTCAATAAAAGTCCCATATAATTATTAGGAGAAGGCGTAAATTATTTACGTCTTGAAATAAACGTTCCTAGAGACGAAAAAATATAAAAATCCCATATAATTATTATGAGAAGACGTAAATCATTTTCATCTTGAAATAAACGTCCAGAGAGACGAAAAAATATAAAAACCCCATATAATTATTATGAGAAGACGTAAATAATTTCCGTCTGGAAATAAACGTCCCGCGAGACGATAAAAAATAAAAGTCCCATATAATTATTATGAGATGAGGAAAATAATTTACATTTTAAAATAATCGTCCCGCGAGGCGAAAACATTTTTTCCATTGTTCAGTAATAATTATAGAGCAATATTTAATTTTATTTCTTATAATCGTTATGGTCTCTGAAATTAACATTTCAAGCTTTGTACAAAACTATAAAAACTCGGCAAATTTTCACAAAAATTTCAAACTTTTTAATCAGAAGCTGTAGAAAAAATTTTGGTATGCAGTTTTGTAGCACCTTTTTTTGTAGTCTAATGAAGTGCAACTTTCAAGTTGGTAAAAAATCCCGATAATTTTTGAGAATTATTTAGGTTGAAGGCGTTTTTTCCATACAAAGCATGTTCGAAAATTTTCATTTATATGGAGGACACTTCCAACGAAAAAATTGCCAAAAATCAACGGAATTTGTTAGCTGCTTGAGACTTGCACTTCATTAGACTAGAATTAAATGGTGAAAATTTTGGAATTTTTATAATTTTTTACCAAGATTGAAATCTGAATTTATTTGGCATTTGTTGTATAACCAACTAGACCATGATACAAAAAACAAGGTTGTTCCATTGTCACTTTTTCGTCGCCATATTAACAACCTGACAATTAAGCAGATTGTGACATTTCGTGCTACCATACCCAATATCTAAAATGCTTCAAATTTTCTTATTAATTTTTTGTCGATTTAAAAATCTTTGTTTTTAGGCCTAGTATTTTATTCCTATTTCACGAGAAAAAGCTGTTAAATTGCATATAAAATTTCTTTCTGTGAAATAAGTGTGAAATTCCACAACATTTCCTCAGCAAAGTAGTATTCTGTTCACGCTGTGAAAAAGCTTGCAACATTTTTGCTAAATGAAGCTAGCAACACAATTTTCATGACATTTTTAAATACACATGTACATTTTAAATTGTGTGAAAGCTGACAGTTTATAGAATTCAGTAGCGGCGAAAACAAAGGGGGGTTAATTGGTTAAACCTTACCCAAGCCGATCGTAAAACTTGCGACGCAATTTCAGCTTATGCCTGTCGGTCTTGGCAAGAACGTAATCCCTCAAGGTTTAGCTTAACATGGTTCTAGGGATACACCCTGTGATCGTGTTACTTTGCAGAAGGTGTCGCGCCCGTTTTTCTGTACATATTTCCTTTGGAAAAATGCCCCATCTCAGTATTCTATGTAAATGCTTCCAGAGGTATCTATGCGTCACCAGAATTTTAATGTATATGGCTTATACCGCTAGCTCTCGTAGCTGGCTACGAGATCGTTTTCATATACCATTTTTCATAGGTTTGGGATTGATTTCATTTACCTCTATTCCAAGTTCTACGGTGGCACGCTGCATTTTCCAATAAACCCTTATTTTTCCATGAGCTTGAGATTGACTTCATATACATACATATATCCATACCAAGTTCCAGAACTCTACCATAAATACTTCCAGAGATATGCACTATGAAAAATTCGATTTGTATGGGAGGTTCCACACCCCCTTTAGATATCGGTTTTGTGTTAGCCTATAACCATTCTTGGAAGATTTGTGTCCGAAATTTCCAAAAAATCGGTATAGCCGGTATGGGCATTGTGATTCCTCAAAGGAAATGAACTAATGATTGCAAAAAATGAAATCAAACGTCGTAGTTGACCAAAAAAGAACATCCTCTCAACTTCTCAGAATGTAGAAAAGCTAAGAAATATATAATAAGATAGGATATATTAAAACAGCCTCCAGAACATTTGCCAAAAGACGCCCCTGAACTACACAAATCAGTTTGATTGAAAATTTGTTTGTATCTATTTATTTTATACTTCACTTTTGGGTTTGTCAAAATTTCATATGAAAACAATATGTGTTGCTGGAAAAATTTCGGGCCTATGGGTCCCAAAGTAAATTCCATTTGCTGTTAAATGGACAAAGACAATATGTATTAAATAAATGTATAATTTCAGTGTCTGAATTATATCAGAATCATCGCATGCGATATAGAAAACTACATTGTGATGTAATCAGATGACATGAGGAGACTAAAAAATTTTAAAATATGTTCACTAAAATTGTATTAATATTAAAATAATGATTTGGCAAGTTGCTACCGAATTTAATGTAAAATTCAAACGTTTTTAAGATAAGATATTAATTATTTTTAAAAAATTTTAACACAAATATTTTATTTATAATCCCAAATTTAGGATATAAAATCTCCCACACCAAAAAACTTACAATTGGGTAACGCCGCTTCGATTTTTTCACAAATGAGCAATTGTCAAAAATCTGCTTTTTAATCAAAAAGTTGTTTATTGAAACTACCTTCTTTTTTGTATCATGAACTAGACTTTTATAAAAAAATAATAAACATTAAGGGTCGTTTTCACTAAGAGCCGGTTGCTTAAAGCCTGGTTGACACTAATCCCCCGTTAAACATCGTTACCGACGTTACCGATACCGTGTTATATGCATGGAGTTGAAAACGTCGATAACGATGTTAACCGATGATTAGTGTCAACCAGGCTTTAAGCAACCGGCCCTAACTCTGGTCAACACTAATCCCCAATTAAACATCGTTGCCGACGTTACTGACTCCATGCTTATTACATTGTGTTGGTAACGTTGGTAACGATGTGTAACTGGGGTGAGTGTTAACAAGCGGTCCTAAATAAACAAAAGACAAATAGCCAAAACTGATTGAAATATCGCACTCCTATTATTTTGTGTGTCACTATATGTATGTATATTGCTTACTAATTTCTAAGTATTGTACTATCGACCTACATTTTTAATTTAAAGCAATCTAATTAACTGATTATTTTTATTGCTTCTTATTTTCTAGAAACACAAGAACCTTATGCGATAGCAGTACTTCTCCAATATGACTTAGTTTTAATAGACTTACTTACGCCCGGTTTTCCATGTTTCGAATCGCCTTATCCTATGGACTTACACGAATCACCTGTTACATGTTGCACCTATTTAACTGATTGTCCCTCGGATTTGGTTCCTGCTTTTTACTCTGTAAGCTTTTCCTAATATTCATTATAATGTATGAGTATATTAATCACCATATTTGTACATAAATTTATGCAGAAAACTTTATAGTTATAAAGTCTCTGCAGTTTTATCGACAAATATTTCCATAAAATTTGTTGAGTAAAATGTGTATATGTAACCGGAAAAATCGCATATGCCGAAAATGCTCTATGGATCATTCTGAGCAACTTTGCTTAAGAAACTATGGGTTCAAAACCAATTCGAGCCAGAGAATTTTAAGGGGAAGTTTCATATCAGGTAATACAAAATTTTTAATTTTTGACTATAAAGACCCTCCCCTGCCCATATAAAATATTAGACTTATGGAATCACCCACATCCTTTGAAAGCGTAATTATACAGTCTATTAGAAGTACATAACTAAAAAAAATATATTCTAGAGTCAAAATTGTGGGAGCTATGATTTTCCTTCCCCTAAATCGCAGAAATTACGCACTGAACGACGATTTAACACGGCTATAAATAGTGACAGACAAACAGAAACTATTCAGAACGAAAAATGACACTGAAGATGGCACAACGCCGAAACCGGTTTGTCTCCAAACCAAATTTGACAAGGGATGACTGAATATCGTTCCACATTAATTTTGACTGTTCCAATTATTTCAGTATGATAGATTTGGATGATGACAATATTTTAACAGAACTGCCAATTACTACATTCCGCATAACCATTTGAAGGAATATTTAGAATTTTAAGCCCCATCACTTCCTGGACCACAAGTTCCATGCCGCATACTAGGAACTGAACGATACGTTCAACTGCTAACCAGTGTTTCTCGGCACGTAACGGGAAAAAAATCGTGAAAATGTTATGACTGTGACTGATGTTAGTCAAAAAAAAAAAAAATACCACGCTTGGAAAGCAAACAGGACTTAAAAACTTAGTTATTTAAGTAAATATTTAAAAAAATGAACTGCCTTTGGTACCCTTACACTGAAATCAGCCATTTGTTTAAGTTTTTCCCCACAAAGTTTAGTAGATATTACCTGGTATGAAACTTCCCCTTAAAATTCGCTGGCTCGAAATTGGTTTTAGACCCAAAGTTTCTTAAGCTAAGTTGTTCAGATTGGTACGTAGAGCATTTTTCGCATATGCGATTTTATGGGAAAAAAGTCGACCCGCCCTAATGTAAGTATATGTATTCTCGATGCAATAGCGCTGCACTATGGGCTAAATCACATTTTTTTTTAATCTAATGTAACGAGAAGGAATAGAGATTGCGCAATATTTTTTTGTGAATAAAGTTCAAGTTACTAAGCGAACGTCAACACGCTTTACTTTAAGGGCTGAAATGAGGGGCGAAGTTGATCATGTTCAATAAATTGATAACCTTTCGCTTTTCTTTTTGCTGTTTCTCAGAGGCAAATCATGATACCGATAAAATTTTTTTAATTGTTGTAAATTTAATATAGATTAAGGAAAAGCTTATTAGGATACCATCCTAAATTAGGGGTTGAAATAGGGGGAGTGCCTAAAACTCAGAAAATTCACTGAAAAACATTGTAAAGTGTTTTCGTAGGGGACGAAAACGACTCCAAAAATTATTTCCGCAAGGTGTAATTTATTGGGATATCATCAACACTTAATTAAGAGGTTCAAATAAAGGGTAAGTTGCGAAAAACCAGAAAATTTAAGAAATCGATGTACTTTCGCTTTTCTTTTTGCTGTATCTCAAGCGCAATTTTTTTTCTGATTTAAACATAACTAAATGTTTTTTTAAACCGTGTTTGCGATATACATACATATCGTCGTTTAAAGTAAAAAACCGTGTATCGTCACATCTGAAAACCGCGTAACTGACATTTGCTGCCAATAATTGGATTTGCTCACACAAGCTCTTGGCTCAATCCTTATCCATTCGTCCTGAAATGTACTAGCCAGAAATGCGATTGCTTTATAAAAAAGAGAACCATGAGTGTTTTTACTATCTAAAAATAATACCTCACATACGCGGTTTTGCATTATCTTGATACGCGGTTTTGTACTTTAAACGACGATATGTATGTATGTACCAGGGTTGTTGCGAATTAATTAATTGCATTAATTTTAATATTTGTATTCGCAAAAATCAATGCGGAGCTTTTGCGGATGCGAATGTTGTGCAAGTGCACTGATAAAACGTATATCTGGCAAACAAAATGACAAATTGTGGTCAATATTTTTTGCCTGTATAGATACGTCGCGACGTTAGGTCGTGTTACGCGTTGTTGTGTAACAAAGCTGGTCAAAAGTCAGATTTATCATCTTTTATAAAAGTGTCTTTAAACATATTATTTCTCAAGCTATATAACCGAGTCATACAAGTTCCCACTTAGAACGTCAAAGAAAACATAGTCCTTTTAATATTTTTTTTTCGTGCTATTAATACCTGCATTTGTTTCTTTCTTTATTATGATTTTGTGGACCACTCTTAAGAAAAAAACTACTAGACATGAAAGAAGGAAGTGTGCACCATAGTGAAATAATATAAAGTGTGCTAGATAGCAATGACGTTCTATTTCGGTACTTTTATTTGAAAATTTATTATCACAAATTTTTCCGTGATTTGACTTTCACGTTAACCCTTTTGAGTGAGAACTTATGCATTTTTTTGATTTGAATTCAAAATTAAAGAAAAAATATCAAGAAAATTTTGCCGCTTGTACAAAAGCACGCATAGCGTTGCAGTAGTGATGTTTTCAGTCCGGAAGAATGAGGATCTAAGCCGAAACTAAACACAGGTATGCAACAAAACCAAGGGTTAACGCCAGATTTGAAAAATGCGAATACCAGAAATGAAAGAAAAAATAATAACAAAATCAAATTTTAATTTAAAATATGAAGACGTCAGTTACTTGGTACACTTTATATTATTTCACTATGGTGTGCACCATGATACAAAAAAGAAGGTAGTTTCAATAAACAACTTTTGACGGATAATAAAATTTTTTGAAGTTTCATAAATTGTGAGTATTATCAAACGCCTTGCCACTTTGATAATATTAAAACAATAAATCGGAGTATTTTACTTCCCATATTTATACCAATGTAATAATATTTCACTCGCACTATTTTTATTAAAAATATATAAAATATAGTTAAACAAGACTTCATCCTAATTAGTATTTTTATTTTATAACAAAAACCACGCTCGCATTATGCTTTTATTGTTTCGTTTTCTTATTTTTAATGCAATCTTGCGATTTAAACATCTAATTCTAAAGACTGTTCTTCCCAAATAAAACCTTTTTATATTTGCGCAAAATTATCGTATGTTACATTTTTTACGAAATTCACTTTTTGATGCAACTTGGTTTTACAACCCATAACGCATCACCTGTTAAAATATTATCCCAATAGCTACCCCAAAAGTTGACTGTAAATTTTATTGTTTGTGACAATGATTTTTTTCTTGTTGGCGAAATTATCATATGTGCTAAGAAATTAGAATGTACTACTAAAAAATCGTATGTTAAGTTATATTTCTGAGTTATCTCAGCAAATCTAAACTTTGGTATTGATGGTGCTAGCCAAGGCAGAGAAAAATACAAACAACACTTTCCTGTAAAATTTGGTTTTTGTAACATACAATAATTTTTCGCAAAGGGGTCGATATTGTCGTATAAAGTACAAAACCGCGTATCAACAAAACGCAAAACTGCGTATGTGAGGTTGCATAAATTATTTCTAGAGAGTAAAAACACTCATATTTCAAAATCGTTCACTTTTTTACAGCGCAATCGCGTTTCTGTTTAGTATAAGTATTGTAAGGCTTGAGCCAAATCCATTTTTTGGCAAAAAATGTCAGTTACGCGGTTTTGCAGAACGACGATAAGCGGTTTTGTACCTTAAGCGACGATATGTATGTATAATATAATATATATAATGATAATGTATATAATGATCACTTTCTTCATGCGTTCTGAAACCTAGTCGTCAACCTCATTTTCGAAGTTATGTAGCCGGCATTATTTTCAAGTGCATCATATTCCACATCTTTGAATGTACTGATAAAATCTTCTGCTTAAAAAAAAAATAGGGGTATTCTCTGATTCTTGCAAAGGCCTTGCATGGTGCACATATTGCACGGATTGCACGGTAAAAACCGGTTTTCGTATGGGACAGCTTTGCAAACCGTGCAATCCGTGCACCGTGCAAGGGCTTTGCAAGACTCAGAGAATACCCCTTATATTTCTTCTAGTAATCAGGTAGCATGAGTTTGATGAAATGTCATAATGTTATTAAAAGTCAAATGGTTAACAACAACAGCGAATGTCATTAAATGGAACTACCTGCTTTTTTGTATCATGTGTGTGTTTCAATAAACAACTTTTGACGGATAATAAAATTTTTTGAAGTTTCATAAATTGTGAGTATTATCAACGGCCTTGCCACTTTGATAATATTAAAACAATAAATCGGAGTATTTTCCTTCCCATATTTATACCAATGTAATAATATTTCAAATCAAAACCCATTATCAGTGCTTGGTATTTTTTTTACTTACGTAGCTCGCACTATTTTTATTAAAAATATATAAAATATAAAGCAGAAATCCAGAATAATAATTATTTTATTGTTGGGTTTTTAAGTAGGTCTTCAAAATTATCGTAAGAATTTTAAGTCTTTTGATAATAATTATGTGTGAGAAATTTTTTTAAGTAATCGATAACTATTATTTTAAGACTTTTATATAATAGAAGTCTTTTCAAAATAATTATCAGCGAGATAAATATTTTTAAGTCTTCAAAGAGTTTTATTTTGACACTTATTTTGAGAAATATTTATCTTAATATAATGATTATTGATTGACTTTTATCCTTTTCTCTTATAATATTTAGTTATGTCTCTGATGTAAAGTATTAAAGACGACTTCATGGTAATTGTTCTTTTTATTTTTAATAAAAACCACGCGCAATGCTGTTATTTTTCATTTTCTTATTTTGAATACAATCTTGCGATTTAAAAATCTAATTCTAAAGAATATTCTTTCCAAATAAAACCTTTTTATATTTTGGCACAAATTTAATTTTAATTTCTCATGAGATTTTGCAAAAAATTAGGCTTTGTTATTAGCGTATCACCATTAACTTTCACAAATTTTGAATTTAAAGTTTCTAATATGTATATGCAAAAAACCTGAAGTCGACTTGAACAGACCGCTAAACAATTAACATATCGTCGTTTAAAGTACAAAGTCTGAAACTTAGTCATCAACCCATTTACGAAATTATGTAGCCGGTATAATTTTCAAGTCCATCATATTCCACATCTTTGAATGTACTGATAAAATCTTCTGCTTTGAAAATAAACATTTCTTCTAGTGATCAGGTAGCATGAATTTGATGAAATGTCATAATTTTATTAAAAGTCAAATGGTTAACAAAAACAACAATGTCATTAAATGGAACTACCTTCTTTTTTGTATCATGGTGTGCACTATAATTTGAAACCACATTGTCGTGATTTGCGATTGATGTCATTTCAATAGTTTCAAGTGGGGCTCTTTGAGAAATTTATTTTTAGCAAAAATTTCAAAAAAACAGTAATTTTGTTCGCTTGCCGGGAAATATTTTTTCATAGAGATATATGTACATTGGATCCTTGGCTAAGAACTTCTGTGGCAAAATTGTCCCACTACGTCCCCCTTATTTTGCCATTTAAAGTCAAAGAGCAAGATCCTTCAATAGGGATTTTCAGCGGCAATTTTCAACATCTAGCTATAAAGAGAATCGATGCTCAAATAATTAAAGATCTGTAGGTCTGACCTTTAATTGTGTAAGGATTACGTAACTATCGAATGTTATTTGTCAAGGATCTGTTGAAAAAAATGGATTCATCGCTACTTCTTTATACTTTTTCTTAGATAAGTGTAATTATTTTTTTCTCTCATAAAACGGCTTGTTATCTATTAACGAGTTGTCTCGAAATATGAGAACGCAATAAGCGAATGGAATCAAGCAACATGACGGATTTGATAGCTTATGGCACCGACAATGGTGAGTAATCAATTGTGACTGCCTGCAACTAGGAAAAGTCGAGCTCAGCAAATAAGAAAACTAATTACAGGCTACTCATTACAGGTGAAGCTTTTGAAGAAGGCACCCGTGAACTAAGCAGCTCGGAGACCCTCATCATCCGTGATTCCAATAATTTAAATGCTTATAAAAAACTAGGCGCGTTTTTAAAAAAATAACATGATTCTGATCCGATGCGGCTGGCATCCCCGACTTTATCCCATATCCACTTATTTAGCACGCTAGAAGCATACATTTTTCAAACCTGTCGCAGAAGAAAGGATAAAAGATAATAAATCGACAAACGCTGATGACGTTATAGGTTCTCCCAATTCCAAAACAGCCAAAGGAATGACAATGAAGAATTCTTTTGAAAAGGCTTTACTCATCGGGTTTGGCTTGTAAGTGTTGTTTAAACCACGATCTTGCTGTGATGATAGATTCTTCCAGTGAATATGAAAGTCAGAAGGATACTCCGACATTTTCATCCCCGATGCAATTCTCAAAAACGAATTATTGTTGCACCGAAAAAATAAATAAATATAAGTGAAAGTCGTCTCAACTGGTGCAGCGTCAATCGATAGAATTTAAAATATTGTCAAGTTTCCTACGCAGATATTTGTCGCCTCGAGCGAGCAGTTATTTAGTGGCGCAGGTTTAGTTTACAACCCTTTAAGAAACCATTTTTAAATTCGAGAACTAAATAAAATAAACATTATAAAAATTACTCAATTTCCCATTTTTTATTTACCTACCTAAATCACCTAATTCACTTACCTAAATTATTTCTTAAAAATACTTGACATTCGCATCCGCGGATGTCTAAAATTCCACATTCGCTGCATCCCTAGTATGGACATTAGGGTGGTCCAAAAATGCATGAGGGTGGGGGGGAGTAAAGTCGGAATTTTTATGCTCTCACTAGGATTGTTCTATACCGAAAAAATATATCCCTATTTTTTTATTTGCAAACCTTCGGTTCGACACTGTTATATATATATATATATATATATATATATATATGATATTGTGTATCTAAAACAGAGGCGGGCATTTTTTGACTTTCCAGACACATGTAATTGGGCTTCAAAATGCTGCTTGCTGCGACGTCGACACATGTATACTATCATCGTCTTCGCGCGTCTTACGATACTTGACGAATGACTGATGCTTCGCTGGCATTTCGGCAAAAGCAAATGAAATCAGTTGCTGTTGAGAGTGTTCGGACGCAAAAAGTTTTCTTAGTGGTAAATAAGCATGAAAAATTGTGGCACATTCCAAAACAATGTGGTAGATTCAAATAAATAAATTTATAAATATGTTATATGCACTTATGGTCAGCTTATTAAGTTAAGTGACATTTTGACCAGTTTTGGCTAATTACTTTTTTGTTTATCTTTTTTTTCTTTGCTGACGGTGCTAGGCAATTTCTTCCATATAAAAGAAATTTCCAATCATTAAAAACCCACACGATTACTTAGCGCTTGAAATTGGCACTTTGAGCTACTAAATTTTAATAGGCTATAAAACTGCATACCTAAAACATTTCTAGAAATTCTAAATAAAAAGCCAAAGCGACAGAATAAGATGCCTTTTTTTAGAAATGATCTATTATTTTCTGATAGAGAATCATTTTCTGATAGACATTGATAATTTTCGTGTTGATGTATATTACTTTCACCAACCCTAAATTTAATAAAGAACGCTGCTTTTAATTCTAAAAGCTTCTTCGATCACCCACTTTCACCTTTTCAAAATGACTATGACACAGTTTGTAATATCTTGTTAAACAAGACATAACATTGCGACTCATAACGCGAAAGCAAATAACGCATTGCGCACACCAATCCATGTTTTCTATGCAAAAAAAATGTATTTCCCATTCTTCCCGAAACATTTTATGTGTGCATTATTCGATTAGCTGCGCAGTGAAGTCTCAGCAGCAACTGATTGGATTTGGTCAAGGCGTATTTAACAGGTGATAGCAGCACCCTTTTAATTTTCTTCGCCTCACGGCTTCATATGTCAAATGGCTGCTGTTGATTGGTAGGAGCAATTGATTGTTTATTGTTTTCTGTTCTCTTTCATATCCTTTGTATGAAATTTTTGACTGTCCTCGCCGCAAAAGCAAAAATGAAATACATGTACATTTTGTTATTGGCGTACCGATACCACCTTATTGAATACGCCTTGGATTTGCTTTGCCGAAGTGCTAGCAACAGTGTTGCCGTTTTAGCCCTTTGGTGGCTAGATTTAGCTACCACATACTTTTTTTGACCATATAAATTTAAAATTGCCCCTAGCCCTTTGGCGAATTTATTCATTCTCGGCATGAAAAAGTTGTATATGCTTAATTTGATCTCATTTTTTTCATTTATGTAAGAGATGAATTTTTAAACTAAGAAAGACTGACATATATACATATGTATGTATATGTATTGTATGTTCCTTATGATTTTATACATACATACTGTAAAAGTGTTGGGGCTGTTAACTTATCTATTAACGATTTAACTATAGTTTAAAATAGATAAGTGTACGGCGCTTAATATGCTTAATTAGTTAATTGGCCCATCACGTCGATTGACCGTTTAAGTTCTTGTGGTGTGATTGTACCAACTGCTGGTGCATCTTCAAAAACTATTTGGACATTTTATGATTGCACCAGCATGCTCAATTTTCTAAGTAAAAAGTATTTTGGCGGAAATTTCTTGCACTAAATGAGTCAAAGCCGTGTTTGTGGAAGATATTGCGATATTACGATATTCGATCCTGATAGTACAATCACTTGATGGAGCCAGCAAGCTGGTGTTGTTTCATACAAAAAGGTTTTTGGTTGCATAAAATATTAACTTTTTTACAGAGTTCGCTGCTTTTCTATACCATAACTTATTGAAAATGTTTGCGTGTATACTTATGTAAGTACAAAATTTTAGCTACCATTTTTAGCTACAACGACTTTTTTTAGCTCTTATTTAGCCCTTTTTTAAAAGAATTTGGCTACCACTAAATTTTATTGGCGGCAACACTGGCTAGCAAAGCATCAGTCAATCGTCAATTATCGTAAGACGCACGAAGACGATCATATCATCCATGTGTCGACGTCGCAGCGAGCAATGTTGTTTTCTGTTGTAGAAAATACCCATTCATTAATGCGCCAATGAACAAATTAAAAAAAAAGAAGTTTCAAGATCTGAAAGTTTTTTAGCTTACGGTGGTAGAAGTAGTAGAAATGTAATTTAGCAAAAAAAAGTGTTATCTATTCCACAAATATGGGAACATCCGAGCACTGGCTGTTGAGCAAAACTTCGCTGCTTCGCACACAAGCGCATGTGTGTGATAGCGTGAGTGCCCACCTCTGATCTAAAAATATATATATGTAGATGTGACCCACCACACATATGTACATTAGGGTGGTCCTAAAAAGTCGGAATTGTAATGTTCTCACCCCTAGGATTGTTCTATATCGAAAAAAGTGTGTATACTAGGGATGTTAATTTTTCGGCTTTTTCCGATCCCGGAATTTTCGATATGGCGTTGTCACAATCCCGGGATCTCTTGATTAGTCCCGGGATTTAGATAGTCATTACTTTTCAACAACTTAAATCGAAAAAATTGCTTCTATATTGTTTGAAAAGTTCTCCTGCCATGAAATAAATAATAAATAAATGGGTTTGAAACCTACTTTTTTATTTAAACAGGGGGTTTTTTTCTCTCTGACCGCAGGATTTACTTTAAATTACTTTGTAATTTCAAAGATATGGTTACTTCCAAAAACTATTAAACAAATTCCATGCAATGTAGAATAAAAATATGGGTAACAAACGCAATAGGAAATTTCTTTTGAATTTAAAAAATTTAAATTCTTTGGATTCACAAGGACGAATAGGCAATTTTTAAGCTAACAAAGTTTGAAGAACGAGATTCGAGGATGTTATCGAGTTTATATAAGCCCTTAACATATAATTTTTTCAAAAACAAATATTGCGAAATTTCAAGGATAAAATTTTAAAATGACATTTTCAATATTTACCAGCCCTTCCAGAAACCTGTGATCGGACTTAAAAAAATTCTGTGTGGTAGAATCTGGGAAAAATGTGATAGATTTCAAAAAAATGTGGTAGATTTCAGGTTTTGGATCAAACTTTGTACAAAAATTAATGAAATTCTGTAAGGTTTCACCTAGACTAAAAAAAAATTAATTTTAGTATAACAAAGTGCAAGATTGAAGTTGCTAAAATTTGCATTGAGTTTTGGCAATTTTTTTCCCTGACAGTGTAAAGCGGTTCCTTCCATATCAAGGTATTTTTCGAACATAAATTTTTTGCAACCTTGCGGAGTGCTGCCAGCGTTTCATTTTATCACATCACGATGTATCGAACAAATGTGGCACGTTACAGAAACCACTACTTGGGATTTGCCGATTTTGACAATTCTCAAGTAAATGTAAACAACGTCTCAGAAACTTTAGATGCACTGAAATTTGCTAATACTTTTACAAAAATCGCCGTTTTTTAACATTTTCGCCCTAATTCTTTTTATAAATCATATATTTTAAAATTTAACATAATGAAACCACGTTTCCTGTCGAAAAGTTAATTATTGAGAAAATTTACTATTTTACAGTTTATGTTGTCCTCTAATTCGGCTTTGTTTACTTTTAATTGAGAAATTTCATCGCCGCCGGGAATGCGGAATCTTGTATTATATCATTCTTGTTACCATATAGTGTTAAGTATTGGACAATTTTTGCTCTTAAAATTAAGAAAATTATGTCGAACAAAAATAAAACTAGGTACTCAAAAAACGCGATTTGTGGTAGATATCAGACCTTGTGTGGTAGATGCTCAAAAAGTGGCAGATCTAACACAATGTGGTAGAAGTCCGATCACTGCCAGAAACTTGAATCTGTTTGAATTCTACAGGATTTCCTCATTAATTTTATACCCATACTTCTTCTCTAAGCACATCTCTCTGAATTTTTTAAATTATTTTTGAATTACTGACGTCAGAGTGAAAAACTAAAAACGCAATTTTACTATATTTGGCCCATGGTTTCGCGAATATATTGATATTTGTGTTTAGAATTTACTATCGCGCGGTGTTTTATGTATATATGTATGTTGTATGTATAATGAGCTACACATTTATTGAAAAAATATTAATTATTAAATGAAAAAAGAAATGTAGCCAATTCTGGTCAAGAAAAGGAGTTTTTATTATTGTCATCAGTGAAAATTACAAATCCCGAAAATAATGGGATTACTTGCCAAGAATCCCGGGGTTAACATTCTTAGTGTATACCCCTATTTTTATACCCGAGCGCACTTGTGCACAAGGGTATATTAATTGTGTTCACATAACGGTTGTTTGTAACAGCCAAAACGAATCGTGATAGATATAGACAAATGTATACATAAATGCTCAGAATGAATAGAGAAGTCGATTAAGCCATGTCTGTCTGTCCGTCCGTCTATCTGTCCGTTTTCACGATAACTCGAGCAAAAATTGAGATATCTCAACGAAATTTGGTACGTACGTTTCCATTTATCCAAGGTAGGTTGGTATTGAAAATGGGCGAAATCGGACTATAACCACGCCCACTTCCCATATAACGGTAATTTTCAGAAATACGAAGACTGCGATATTTTAGTAACTACTGGAGATTATTCACTCAAAATTAATATTTACAATAAGTTTTAGACGAAAAATAAGAATATTATAAATTTTTGGANCTTGGTAACCGCTGCACCAATTTCTTCCAAACTTGGCACAGTTGTTGGGCTTCGTACAACATACCAAATGGCCAAAAAATTTTTNAACTAGATATTTATTTCGCCATATCCAACTATGCCACTTGGTCACTATAACCAAATCTTGGTTATTATAACTAAACCTTTTTCTGAGTGTACGAAATCTTCGATAAATCAGTAAATATTAAAGCTAATTTATTCAAAATTGATGCTTGCAACAATTCTTAACCAAGAAATACGTTTGTGATAAAATTTTGGAAAATGGGCGTGGCAGCGCCCACTTACGATCACATATATGTATGTATCTCGGTAACCGTTCTACCAATTTGTATACAAACTCGGTATGGTTATTATACTTGCCACATA